TCTCCTGCCTCCACCTCCCAAGTAGCTGGGACCACAGGTGCCTGCCACAACGCCCGGCTATTTTTTGGTTGCAGCCGTCGTTGTTTGGCGGTCCGGGCTGGATTCGTACTGGCCACCTTAGGTATATGTGGCTGGCGCCTTAGCCACTTGAGCCACAGGCGCCGAGTGAGCTATGATTTTATAGCACTCTCGGGTGACAGCTTAAGACTCTGTCTCAAAAAAAAAAAAAAAAAGAAAGAAAAGAAGGAGAAATTAACTAGGCCTGGTGGTTCCTGCTACTTGGGAGGCTGAGGTGGGTCGCTTGAGCCCAGGAGTTTGAGGCTGCAGTAAGCTATGATAGCACTACTGCACTGCACTCCAGCCTTGGTGACAGATTGAAGCCCTGTCTCTTTAAGGAAAAAGAAAGAAAGGAAAGAAAAAGATTAGATTAGGGAAGATATCTCTTTTCCCTGAGATTATTATCTTTCCCACCTCAGGCCTTGAGGAATAAGTAATGGGAGCAGTAGGGATTATTTTGGAGAGGTTAAAATATTCTCAGCATCCCTCCCTGCTATGTACTGCTTCCATTCCCTTTTGGGAGACAGCTTAGTGATCAAGGATGTGATCTTTAAAGTCAAACCTGAATTTAAATCTCAGCTCTACTACCACCTTTTAGTGGTGAGACTTTCTGCAAATCTTTTCATCTCTGATCCTCATTTTCCTCATCTATAAATTGAGGAAGGAAATAATACCTACTTTATAGGGTTGTGAGGAGAATGAGATGATTTATGTACATAGAGCACTCAGCATCATGCCTAATCCAGGTAAATGTCTAGTATGTGGCCACTATTCCTTTTCCCTCTGCCCATCTGCTTGCCCACCACACATTTACACCCATGCTTCTCACCCCCCTTCCTCTCAGGATGGCTGGCTTTGATGGGTCAGCTTGGGATGAGGAGGAGGAAGAGCCACCTGATCATCAGTACTACAATGACTTCCCGGGGAAGGAGCCCCCTCTTGGGGGGGTGGTAGACATGAGGCTTAGGGAGGGAGCCGCTCCAGGGGCCACTCGGTCCACTCCTCCCACTGCCCAGACACCCAGCCATTTGGGTGCCACACTGGTAAGTTCCTTGGATGGAGGTGGGCTGGGCCTGGGGTCAGAGTGGCTGGTCAGGGCCTCTGGACTCACCTTTTTATCCCTACAGCCTGTTGGGGGAGACCCAGAAGTCCGCAAACAGTTGCCACCTCCACCACCTTGCCCAGGTATGAAGGTAGCTGAAATAGGCAGAGTCAGGAGTGCTGGAGGTAGAGTGGGCCGTGGTACAGCCTCTCTCTCCACAGGCAGAGAGCTCTTTGACGATCCCTCCTATGTCAACGTCCAGAACCTAGACAAGGCCCGGCAAGCTGGGGCTGGGCCCCCCAATCCTGCTATCAATGGCAGTGCACCCCGGGATCTCTTTGACATGAGTGAGTGCTTCTCTCTCCTTTCTGCATCCCCTCCTTCCTCCTTCGTTCCTCCTCTGCTCCTCCCACCCTGCTCTTTCCTTCCCAGTTTCACCTTCCTGAAGGTCTGGTTCCTGGGTGTGTGTTGTGCCAGCTATCTCCCCTAACACTCTCAATGCCCCTAGAGCCCTTTGAAGATGCCCTTCGGGTGCCTCCACCTCCTCAGTTGGTGTCCATGGCTGAGCAGCTCCGAGGGGAGCCCTGGTTCCATGGGAAGCTGAGCCGACGGGAGGCAGAGGCACTGCTGCAGCTCAATGGGGACTTCCTGGTGCGGGAGAGCACAACCACCCCTGGCCAGTACGTGCTCACTGGCTTGCAGAGTGGGCAGCCTAAGCACTTGCTACTGGTGGACCCTGAGGGTGTGGTGAGTGTGGCAGAGGTGTGGGTGGAGGGTGGCAGAAGGGCAAGGACAGTACACTGAAGTGCAGCCCTGTTCCTTCCCTCATTGTTTTCTAGATTTTCTCTTCTGTGCACCTCTCTATGGGCCATTCCTGCTCTTCCAAGGTTTTTGGTGTCCTTTTCCAGCAGATTAGGGTTCCTTTCCTTCTCCTATCCCTGATCCTGAGCTATGTTCCTTATAGTCCCTCCTGGTTCTCAGATCCCCTTACCTTAAGGCTAGAAGGTGCTCACTAGAAGGTGCTTGTGTCACCTATGCCCCTCTTTTCACAAACGAGGAAGTACCCTGGAGAGATTGTGATGCCCAAAATTAGAGACCAAACACACCATGTCTCCTCTTGCAGGAGCAACCAGGGGCCTTCCCAGCTCCCTAGACCCAGGGCTCAGACCACTGTCCTTTCTCTTATTTTTACTGCCCCACTGCCCAAAACTGGTTTCTTTTCCACAGCAATCTCAGCCTCCTTTCCACAGCTTTTATGTGCTGTGTTAATTCTTCTGAGACATGCCAACTTCTTCCAGGCCAGGAAAGGTATAGCTATCCTTCAGCTTCATTGTTTCTGGGCTAATGTCTCCTTTGCTTTTTCCCAGTTCACTAACCTACCCGTTCCTACAACTGCCTCTAGCTTTTCTTTATAGAGAAGCCTCAGAGATCAGGACTGACAATCCCACCCACCTCAGCCCCTGCCATTTTCCTCCTTCCTTAAGCTTCTTGACTATTCTACCTTCTTCAACCTTTAGGGCCCAAGTCTTCTTTTCCTTTTTTAATTGTCCTTTAATGGCTGCAAACTAGGTCTTTATTTCTGAGGTAGAATCTCACTTTGTCACCCAGTCTTAGGGAGAGTGCCACAGCTCATAGCAACCTCAAATTCTTAGGTTTTGAGCAATCCTCCTGCCTCAGCCTCCCAAGTAGCTGGGACTACAGGTGTCTGCTACATTGCCCAGCTAGTTTTTCTATTTTTAGTAGAGACAGGGTCTTGCTCTTGCTCAGGCTGGTCTTGAACTCCTAAGCTCAAGGGATCCTCCTGCTCACTCTTCCCACAGTTCTGGGATTATAGGAGTGAGCACCCGCCAGGCCTGCAAACTAGGTCTTATTTGACTCTTCACTGGAATTGACGCTCTTCCTTCTTACCTTCCCAGGTTCGGACAAAAGATCACCGCTTTGAGAGTGTCAGTCACCTCATCAGCTACCACATGGACAATCACTTGCCCATCATCTCTGCGGGCAGCGAACTGTGTCTACAGCAACCTGTGGAGCGAAAACTGTGATCCCTCCCAAAGCTCTCTTCCAGAAGATGCCCTCCAGCTCCTCCCACCCTAGTCCCTAACTCTCAGGACCTCATTTGGGGGTGTCCTGTGGGCTTGGCCTTGTGTAGGTGCTGGGAGTAGTGTGAACAGTGGATTTAGTATCCAGCTGTGTGAGAGGGTTTGAGTCAGGAGTCTGGGGTAGCCCCCAACATCACCAAAGTATTAATGTACAGAGTGGCCCTTAACCTGGGCCTATACTGTGCCAATCTGATGCCCCCCCTGCCCCTAGAAGGTGAGTGCTTGTAATGGAAAACGTCCTGTGGTGACAGGCCTGGTAGAGCAACCTCCCTTCTGGGGAAGAGGGAACAAACCACACCTCTGGTCTCTCCCTGAGTTTCAGGGTACTCCAGATCCCTCTCAACAACCCTCATCCCAGGGTTTCAACTTTGTGCCTTTGACCATCTCTTAGGTCTGAAGATACTTTATGCAAAGAGTTCTCAGGCCCCTGAGTTCAGTGACAGGGGTGCTGAGACCTTGGCTTCAGGACTCTTGTTTTCTCTTTGCTCAGCACCCCCTCCAGTTTGGGTTGGCAGAACAGAGGAGTGGCAGCTGTCCCCTCTCCCTAGGGATATGCAACCCTTAGAGATTGCCCTAGAAACCCCCTCCCAGCCAGGGGGGATATGGGACCCCTCTTCTGCTCAGTACCTCCTGACATACAAGTCCCAAGTCCCAAGTCCCACCTCCCATGGTGAGTGCTTGTTGAACTACATGGCCAAAGTGCAGCCCTTCCTCCCATGGCCTCATCCTGTCTGCCCTTCTGGGTTAGTGAGGGGTGACAGAATTTGGGCCTCCTGTACAGGGAATGCTCCCAGGTGGATTTTGTGGGGTGGAACAGGGGCATTGAGACTTTAAAGCAGTAGACAATCCCCAAATACCATCTGTAGATTTGGAAATACATTCATTTTAAATTTTATATGGATATGTTTTAGGGTTGTAGAATTACTTTCCTAATTTTGTTTCCATGGCTTACTGAGCACAAATGATAATCAATCGCATTTACACATCACCTCTTTGATGTTCTCTCACCCCACCTGTGAGTATCAGCGACCTGGGGCAGGACGTGACACCGAGCCAAAGCGTGAAGAAGTGGCCTCTGACAAACGCGGGGAGCAGCCATTTGCCTGGATATGTGTCACAGGTCCCCGAAGGGCAATCCTAAGCTTTACAGCTCCGATACCTGCTGCAGGCCGCGAGATGAGAGGCCGGCCGTTAGCTCCAGGCCTGCGGATGGGCCGTTTCCATCCTGGCTCCTTTCTTTGTTCGGTTGTTTTCACGGGTCTCACTGTTACCAAAGGGAAAATGTCTTCATTAAAGTCCGCGTTTCTTCTACCTCTGCAGAGCCTACTGTGTCGCTAGGCGGCGGGAGGGGCCAGGCCGCGGCCGGCGGGCGTGGCGCGCACAGAGGGGACCGAGTACCCTCAGATCTGGACGGGCCGCTCCCCCTGTCCAGCGCGTGGTACGTCCCGCCCAGCCCGCGTGTCCCACCCCGCGCTCGGCCCCCAGTTGCGCCCAGTGGAGGCGCCGAGCCGAGTTCCGGTTCCGGTTGCTGCAGCTGCTGGCGGGCGGGGAGGCGGGCTAGCGCGCAGTTCGGGTCCCAGCTCGGCGCCTCTGCCTCGCTGCGCCTTGGGGTCGCCGCATCCTGGGGGCCAGTGCTGCCCCCGACTTTGCTTCTGGGCGATGGTGCAGCCCGAGGGCGCTTCCATCCCCCGCCACCGCTGACCCTGGTCCCCACTCCATGGCCGCCTCGGCGCCGCCCCCACCGGACAAGCTGGAGGGAGGTGGCGGCCCCGCACCGCCTCCTGCGCCGCCCAGCACCGGGAGGAAGCAGGGCAAGGCCGGTGAGAGCGGCTGCGAGGGGAAGGTCGAAGGGAGGTCCGGGAAGGAGGGATGGGCGGGGTGCAGCCCTCGGGGTCAGGGACAGATGTCACCGCAGGTTTAGAGCCACTTGGAATTTAGGAGTCACTTGGAGCCTGAGGATTTCAAAATATAGGTTATCTGCCGTTTAGGAAAATGCAGCTGGGCGCATGATTATGGTCACTATTCATTTTTCATACTACATCCCTTGTTAGTATTGGTTAAGTAAATAAATGCGTGTTGAAGTAAAGGGATTCCTTAGCGCATGGCTGTGAGAGAGGAGGTTGGGGAACCGCAGGGAAACTTGACTGGTCTGCCTTTTGCTGCTCTTCCAGGTTTGCAAATGAAGAGCCCAGAAAAGAAACGAAGAAAGTCAAATACTCAGGTGAATGGGGCTTGGTGGTGTAGTTCCTAGCAGTCTCTGGGCGGACACTGCCTTTCTGCCACTCTAAAATCTATCTGCATCAGGTGCAGGGAAAAGAGAAAATTGTTTCTGTTCCTTTCCATCAACCTTATAGCAAGGGAAAAATAACCTCCCCTAAGAGACTATTTAACCAAAGGACTTATCAAGGATACAGTCTTCCTCTCCTTGATTTTTCCTGTCCTGGTTCCCTCATGATGATAATATAATACTTACTATTTACTGAACCTTTTCTAAGTGCCGGAGATTGTGTTAAAGTGCTTTATCAGGTTTTGGAGACAGGCATTACCCCTATTTTGCAAACGAGAAATCTAGGCTTAAAAATGTTAAAACTCCTGCTTCAGGGTCTTGAAGTTATTAAGGAGTAGAGCTGGGATTCTAGTCTAGTTCTGCCTGTTTTTCAAAACACAGTCATGCTGTGCTGTTTCCACTCTACTATTTCTCTGTTGCGTTCTAAGGTCTGTCTTGATTTTTGATCAGAGCTGGCTAGTAGCACCCTTCAAGTGTGTGTGTTTATGCTGCTCTCTTGGTGTAGCTCCATGTCTCCTCCATGACCATCTTCCTTCCCCTCATCTGCTCCCCACCAGGGCCCAGCGTACTCACATCTGACGGAGTTTGCACCACCTCCGACACCCATGGTGGATCACCTAGTTGCATCCAACCCTTTTGAGGATGACTTCGGAGCCCCCAAGGTGGGGGGTGCAGCCCCTCCATTCCTTGGCAGTCCTGTACCCTTTGGAGGCTTCCGTGTACAAGGAGGCATGGCAGGCCAGGTGCCTCCAGGCTACAGCACTGGGGGTGGAGGAGGTCCCCAGCCACTTCGTCGACAGCCCCCCCCTTTCCCTCCAAACCCTATGGGCCCTGCTTTCAACATGCCCCCCCAGGGCCCTGGTTATCCACCCCCAAGCAACATGAACTTTCCCAGCCAACCCTTTAACCAGCCTCTGGGTCAGAATTTTAGTCCTCCTGGTGGGCAGATGATGCCAGGCCCAGTAGGTGGATTTGGTCCCATGATCTCACCCACCATGGGACAGCCTCCCAGAGGGGATCTGTGTCCCCCTTCCCTTCCCCAACGCTTTGCCCAGCCAGGAGCTCCTTTTGGCCCCTCTCCTCTCCAGAGACCTGCTCAGGGGCTCCCTAGCCTGCCCCCCAACACAAGCCCCTTCCCTGGTCCAGACCCCAGCTTTCCTGGACCTGGTGGTGAGGATGGGGGGAAGCCCTTGAACCCATCTGCTCCTACTGCTTTTCCCCAGGAGCCCCACTCAGGCTCCCCAGCTGCTCCCGTTAATGGGAATCAGCCCAGTTTCCCACCGAGCAGCAGTGGTCGGGGTGGGGGCACTCCGGACACCAACAGCCTGGCACCCCCTGGCAAGGCAGGAGGGGGCTCAGGGCCTCAGCCCCCCCCAGGCTTGGTGTACCCATGTGGTGCCTGTCGGAGTGAGGTAAATGATGATCAGGATGCCATTCTGTGTGAGGCCTCCTGCCAGAAGTGGTTCCACCGAGAGTGCACAGGGATGACTGAGAGCGCCTATGGGCTGCTGACCACGGAGGCCTCTGCTGTCTGGGCCTGTGACCTCTGCCTCAAGACCAAGGAGATCCAGTCTGTCTATATCCGTGAGGGCATGGGGCAGCTAGTAGCTGCTAACGATGGGTGACATTGGCAGTGAGGCCCAAGGAAGTGCACATATCCCTCCCTGCTCTTCCAGGGTGATTGTTTTCTGTGTCTGGCTTCCCATCCCCATGGGGCAGAAACAGTGACTCCTGGGGGCAGAAAAAGAATTTGAGGTGGGCAGGCGGACGACCTGGATGGATCACTTTTTGGAATCTTATGCGTTGAGATCTACAGGGATCTAGAAAACCAAAGCCCTGCTGAGGAGAGCCATTTTTTTGTGGCTGTCGCTGGAGCCCAGGAGTGTGGCTGCATGAGAAAAGGAGCTGGAGGAAGATCTGGAGGGCTGGGCTGTCCCCTCTATAGATGATGGGTGCCCTTTACATCTGTGCCTAACACCTCTCCCTAGCCCCATAGCTCCAGCCTTCGTTTTTGGAGTCAAGTGTTAAAGGTTTCTGGCTGAAGGAGTTGAGGTCTCTTCTATCCTTGCAGTAGCCCTTTTATGGGTTCTGGGAGACAGCTTTAGGAAATAAATGGGAATTTCCCCCTCTTTCTAATCTCCTTTGCGTCTTCCAAAGCCTGTCTAGCTCCTCCCCCCTCAGAACCAAATAGCTTAAAGAAGCAGGAGAGTTCCTGGCTCTTAATGGCAGTTTCTCAGTGATTTGGGGCTTTGAGACAATAGGTAAGAGATGCTGTCAAGGACATACCTTGCTCATACCAAAGTTACTGGTCCTTTTTCAGCCTCTTATGCTTTTTTGCTAATGATCATATTTTTGCCAAAAATTGGGATATGTGATCTGACCAGAATATTTGAAGCTTGGGCTGTTCTGGAAGTCTCGGTGCTGTTCCCAGCTTGCCTGGCTTGGTTGAAGGAAAGTCTGAAAGGCCCTTATACCTCATTTTCCTGTCTTGGTGAAAGGATCCACCTGAGGCCCTGTCGCTGTCTTGTTGGTAAGGTGTGTGGTAGGATCCTCATTGCTAGGACACTGAAAGGCAGAGGAGCCTGGAGCTATTTTGCTTCCCTTCCCTTGATCCTCTTTCGTATCACCTCAGGCCCTGTGGTTTAGCGGCTCTCAATCAAAGTCCTGCACTGGGCTTTATGTGTTTTTTAATTTTTTAAAGTACCACCTGCCAGAGATGGGCCCTGGGCCTGGTCCTAAGTCCATCACAGTAGTTGTTCTGCAGCTCACTTACACATTCCTCTGTGGGGTGGGGAAGGCAGGCATGGGGTGTGGCCTCTGCGAAGTTAGTGGTCCTCCGCATGACGTGTGTTGGCAGAGACCCACCCTCTGTGGACCCTCCCCAGAGAATGGTGCCCTGTGATACTAGCAGCCTCTGAGGCCAAGGGAATTCAGGCATCTCTTACAGTGTTCCCCACGCTAAAATAGCATGGGTGTCTCCACTACTGCTTGACTCTATTGTCTGTGGTTCTGTTTGCCCCTTTTCTCTGTTGCTATTCTGTGTTGTCTCCCTCCTATGCGTTTTGTAAAATGGCTTTGGTGGTGGGGGGGGATGTCTCTGCTCAGTCAACTCCCTAATGCCCTCTTGCTCCACCATGTTTTGGAGGAGAGTGGAGGAGATGGTTTTTCATACAGTTGGATTAATAAAATGACTTGAAAATTAAGATGGACTCCTTGATGTGTGGAAAGGTTGGAATGAGCCACTATGGCTGCTGGGAAGTATGCTTAGGGGTGAGGGTATATGTACTCCCAGGTTCCTGGGCTAACCTGGGTATAGGATGCTGATCGTCGGGGCCTGTGTCCCCCTACCCACTGCCTCACTACCATGAAAAGCTGAGTTTCTATTCTGAGCACATTCCAGGGCCAGGCTCAGAGCCAGGCAGGAAATTCAGCTCCAAGAGTCCTGGGAGACAAGTGCTACAACTCTTCTGAGTTCAGAACCGCTCCTCCCTCTCCCCCTCCTCCCCCCCCCCCCCGCCCCCAGTTGGTTGGGTTAGGGGCCAAGTGTAGCTCCAAGGGGAGGGGAGGGGCTCCTCTGCTCTAGCAAATTTAATTTTGGGATGTTTTTCAGACAAGGCTGCCCACTCCTTGCTACTTAAAAGTAGCAAGGGCATCCTTAACAGCTTGCGCTAGAGCTGGTCAAAGGGAGTGACCTAAGGGCTATTTGGAAGCCTCAGTTTGCCACCTCTCTCCTCCCCCAGCCTACAGCTGTCTCTGTCTATCCTGGGTCCAACCCGGCCCCTTGTCCTTGTCATGTTGGGAGACACTACACTTTGTCCTCAGTTTTGGGCCTCCCTTTCGAAATTTCAGATACTGGGAAAGGAAGAAGGTCACTCAAAATTCAGTTTGCTGGGACCCCCAGCCTCCCTCCAGGGTAGGCCCGGATTTGGGGGCCGTGACCCTCCCCTAGCAGCCCGGGGCCTCGATTCCTGCTCTTATTGGCCAAAAGTTTCCGCCCCCTTGGGGAAGTTGACTTTCCATTGGTCAGTTTTAGTCATATGACCCTTTTCTTGTTCTGGAAACAAGCGGAGGCAGCAACAAGTTAAGCTGAAGACGGAGCAAGAGCTGGGTCAGGTAACTAACTCCCTCTGGGGAAGGGGCTCCGCTTGCCTGTTAGGCAGGGTTAGGGACAGGGGCCTGGAGCTCCAGAAAGGAGCTGTGCTTCCTCTTCGGTATTCCCAAAACAAGAACGTGCTACGGGTCCCCCACGTCCTTTGCTGTCAGAGGCTGGGGCACAACTGTCAGAGGTTTGGGTCAGCTGGAGGCAGGACTTCCCCGGCCTTGTACCGAGCAGGGGAGCTCTCCCCCTTTGGCTGGGTTTTAGAAATAGCAGAAATCTCTGACATACTCTTTAGAGGATGTTTTTGTTGAATCCTGCCTGAATGAAAAGAAAGGGAAAAGTGGGACGGGGGTGGAGGAGCTGGGTTTTCTTCCAAGAGGCCCATGAGAAGCAAAAGAACTGAAGCAGGGAAGGAGGTGGGGATTAGACAACAGAAGTAACTTCCTAATAAGGCAGGAGCTGCTGGCTTGGGAGAACAGGGGTATCTTTTGGAATCTTGGGTGAACCCAAGCAAGAGAGAATTATTAGGATTTGGGACCCCAAATACCCGAGTTCTAGACCCTATCCCCTTTAGGTCTCAGAAGTGTTTGTCTTGTTGACCCAAATACCATTGCTGGTTTCCATGGAGACAGTAGGTCTGACATCACCCTGGTTGCCATGGTGTTTGGTTCTGGAGGACCTGAGCAGGCTGTACACAGCCAAGGATAAACATGGCCACTTCTAAGCTGCTACCACTTCCTTCCTGCCACCACCTGTTAATAATCACATGTAGCAACTGGGGATGGGAGATGATGACAGACAGCGGGGGAGGGGCCAAGAGCAGGAGGCTGCACAGCAGTGGCTCTGTGGATGCCTATAGGAGCATGCCAGAGTGTCCCATTGACTTGGTATGGGGAAATCATCAAAGCCATTCTCCTGTCCATGTGAGGTGGGTGCTTGTATCCAGAAGGTATGGGCATTGGGTAAGGCACAGCAAGGAATCTTTCACCTATTCTGGGCTTGACTGGCAAGATCAAGGTACCATGCAGGACTTAAAACCAGCTCACATAGAAGGGGCCATGTAGTTGGTTTCAAAGGTAGACTTCTTGTCCTTTCCCACCTTGGTCCCTTCTCCTGAGTTTTCTTAGCTCACTGCCACCTTAGACTTCCAGGCTCAAGTGATCCTCCTGCCTCAGGCTCCCAAGTAGCTGAGAGTGCGAGCACTTGCCTCTATGCCCAGCTAATTTTTCTATTTATTGTGGAGACAGGGTCTTTTCTCAGGCTGGTCTCAAACTCTTGAGCTCAAATGATCCTCCTGCCTCGGCCTCCCAGAGTGCTGGGATTACAAACCTGAGCCACCATAATTGGCCCGAAGTCCTCTTCTGTTTATTGTCATTCCAGTCCCCAGGAATCAGTTAGTCATTTATCCTTTTCTGAAGGATCAGAATCCAGGACTCTTGAGGGTCAGCCCATTTATCATTCCACCTTTATGTCTGGTCCCAACTGCAAGTGCCCCAGCCTCTGGGCACAGTCTTGGCCATGGATGGAGGGTGGGCCCCTTTCTTCTTACTCAGCTGTGTCAGGCTTTGGACGTTGGGATGACTTCTTGCTCACCTCCCTAACAAGTCAGAGCAGATTATCAGGGGGCAGGAAGACAGCCCTGATTTTTGTCTATTCTTTGTAAACTATAAAGTGATTTATAAACTGTTAAGTGATAGTTGTCATAAATCCCTTTTCTCAGTCACTTTCAAGTTCCCTAAGACCAAACTCTGGAGATTACTAAAAAGGAAAACAGAATTTAGGATAGAGAGTGAGAGTGATAAGGAGATTTTCTAAAGGTGCATTCAGATGGATCTAAGTTATGCCAGTGGTTCTCAGCCCTGGCTTTACATGAGAATCAACTGAGAGGTTTTATGTGTAATTCTTTTTTATTTTATTGAGATAGGGTCTTGCTTTATTGCCCAGACTGGAGTATAGTGGCACCATTATATTTTACTACAGGCTTGAACTCCTGGGTTCAAGGGACCTTCTAGCGTTAGCTTTTCAAGTTGTTAGGACTATAGGTGTGCACCACCACACCCAGCTAATTTTTCTATTTTTTATAGAGATGGAGGTCTCACTATGTTGTCCAGGCTGGAACTCCTGGCCCCAAGCCATCCTCCTACCTCAGCTTCCCAAAGTACTGGGATTGCAGGTGTGAGCCACTGCCTTCAGCCATGAGAGAGGTTTTAAAAAGACCTATGCCCCACTCAATTGAATCAGAATTTTAGTTGATTCCAATGTACAGCCAGTGTTGAAACACCCCCCCCTCCCTAAATAGACCATACAGAGGATTTGTGGTGGGTGGTGCTGAGAGACAGGCTGAAAGAAACCATTTAGTCTCTCTGCTCAGCCCTGGAGGAGGTGGCAGTGATTGTGGCTGTGCCTGGAGTGGTGAAGGTCGGGCTATGCTGTTCTCCTTGCTCTTATTGGCACGTCGTCTGTCAGCCTTTCCAGGCTTCATCTCCCTGACTATGATGTCAGGGGTTTGGACAGGATGCTCATTAGACCCTTGACAGGCCTAAGCTTCTTTGACCTTTCAAGGTCAGTTCGGTTTCCCAAGGCCTGGTTGGTTCCTGGGAGAGACAGCCTTCTCTCTAGCTGTTGGCAGATTTTGATTAGCAAGGTGCATGGTGCCTAGAGGAGCTGAGGTGATGGGGAATGGGGGACTGGAATCAGGCTGGGTTCTGAAGGCTGCTCTCAGAACTCAAGTCTTGGAACCCAGCCATAGCTGCTTTCTGTATCCCTTCTTCCCTGAAAGGAGCACTGACCCTTAAGAGAGCTTGTCTCTGCAGGTGGCAGCCACAGCAGGCACAGGGACCACAGCAGGCACAGGGACCTCAGCAGCTATGGCCTCCTGCCCAGACTCAGACAACAGCTGGGTGCTTGCTGGCTCAGAGGTAGGAGGAGTGGGCCTGGCAGCCATGTGGCAGGGGGGTCACTGTGGTTCCTGCAGGGCTGGGTGTTGCTTTCTGGGTCTGTCCCTGTCCTGGGTCCTGATAGTCCACTGATAGTGTCACTGCTTGCTGGCTGTTAGAGGAACTCTCATAGCAGGGACAAGGAGGTTAGGCCCCAGGGGCCAGGGGTTGACCCTGGCCCATATCATGAAGGAAGGGAGGCAGGGGGTATGCTGAAAGCAACAGGGAGGAAATTCTGGTGGGAAGACCAATGTGAGCAGTGGTCTTGAGGTGACAATGAGAAAGCCACATTGGGAGAGACTGAGGAGCCCATGGATGAGCTGGAGACAGAGGTCAGAGCCTGGGAACCCCTGGAGGAGACCTCAGGGCCTGGAAGAGGCATTTAGGCCTCATCCTGATGGGAATCAGGGAGGGCTTTGAGTTGGTGTTGTCAGGACAGCCACTGCCTTGGGCAGAGGGTGAAGATGTAGGAACAGCAGGAGCATTGTGAAGGCCCCTGCAGCTGTCTAGGGAACTCCTGTGCTCCTGGTGCCACTGAGAGGAAGAAAAGCAGGTAGGAGGGAGCTGAGTGGCTGGGAGGGGTAGCAGCAGTTTGTCAAGGGGTCTCTGAGAGCGCTCTGAGCCCAGTGACTTGGGGTATTGGAGTCACCAGGATGAGAAGGCAAAGAGCTTGATTTAGTTGTGTGGAGCTTGAGGTGCCCTTGAGGAGCCTGGCTGGGAGTGAGGAGTTGACCTCAGGGAAGACACTGGAGCAGGACACATGGACTGAGGCTTGCTGGCAGGGGAGGCAGGTTGGAGCAGGACAGGAACCATACTCTTGGTCAGAGCCCTGGCCTCTTGTTGCGGTGCCTCCTTCTGTCCTCCCCTATAAAACAGGTTATGATTCTTGCCTTCCAGGATGTCTATGAGGAAAAACATGATTTTTTTTTGAGGCAGAGTTTCACTTTGTCACCCTCAGTAGAGAGCCATGGCGTCATAGCTCACAGCAACCTCAAACTCATGGGCTCAAGCAATCCTCTTGCTTCAGCCTTCCAAGTAGCTGGGACTACAGGTGTCCACTACAACGCCTTGCTATTTTTAGAGATAGGGTCTCACTCTTGCTCAGGCTGGTCTCGAATTTATGAGCTCAAGCAATCCACGTACCTCAGCTTCCTAGAGTGTTATAGGCGAGAGCCACCAGGCCTGGCCTAAAAAACTTGATTTGAAAATGGAATGGCTGGCTCGGCTTAGCTCAAGCAGCTAAGGCACCAGCCAGATACGCCTGAGCTGGCAGGTTCAAATCTAGCCCAGGTCCGCCAAGCAACAATGACAGCTGCAACCAAAAAATAGCTAGGCGTTGTGGCGAGCGCCTGTAGTTCCAGCTACTTGGGAGGCAGAGGGAGGAGAATCACTTGAGCCCAGGAGTTGGAGGTTGCTGTGAGCTGTGATAGAGATGGCACTCTACCCAGGGTGACAGCTTGAGGCTGTCTCAAAAAAAAAATAGAAATACCCCTGAAAATGGAATGGCAAAGACATCTGCTAAGGTTAAGAATTCTTCTTCTGGCTGGGCGCCTATAGCTCAACTGGCTAAGGCGCCAGCCACGTACACCTAAGGTGGCGGGTTCGAATCCCCAGCCC